CAAATTTTATTTTATTGTAGGATTGACGTCTTGCATAACTAAGATCATTCGAGCACGAGCATTTCTTCCAAGTACTCTCATTATATTACTTTTCTAGTTGGGGATTTCTACGCTCTGATTCATTTTAATCGCTTGATATGATTATTGTTGTATGCGCATGTGACAGGGCCTTGGGGCATATGTATGGGCCGATGAACTAGATGCATTAGAGTCGCGCGACAGTATTTATACAGATGGATATTTTGCATATGGCCTTCGGGCAAACCTATTTATATTTTTATCGACGAACAAAGGATTAGTGCATTTATAGTTGCACGACGATATTTATACATGGTATATATTAATCTACGGGTTACAATATTATTAATGATGGTTACACGTCTGTACATCAATGGTGATGTCGGTTATTATCCTGAATAATTGCACAGTTTACCACAGAGTGGTCCATACTCATTTGACCATTAACATTTTCAAGTCAAGGAGCTCGCTGATATGCTGGCGATCGGACACAGTTAAAATATTAAAATACTATAACTCGTTACTTGTCATTTCTTTATTATTATGAAAATGCTTAAACATGTGTATTTTGAAAAATTATACAAAAACCATATCATGAGATTTGAAACATTTTGAGTTGAGCATTGTTAATATAAAATATTTTATTATTAGAAACTATTGAAAAAATATTAATATGCTTTAATGAATGTTCTATTAAATTTCAAGGAATTTCAGGACGTTGATGCTTGGATAAAAATTCATCTAAAAAAATCCAATCATTTTTAACTCAATCAATTTTTTAACTCAACTTTAACCTAACCCCACTATACTCAATATTATCAATATAGTTAAAATAATATCAATCAATCATTCTTACACACCACATTAACCTTAATTCACTATTCATCCTCTTACATAATTTTAACTAACAATCAAATCACATCTTCTCTCATGCTTTTACATCCAATTAATTTTAATTATTTTATTTTAAGTATTATTTTAATATACCCACTAACAACTAATCATTCCATTTTTTTCAAATTTAACCAACTCAAACAAAATAAATTCAATCAAAACCAAAAAATTTTATATCCAAACATCCAAAATTACGTCCTTTCATTTATTACTAGTGCGTAGCCTATACGATGCACGGGTAAATAATATTAAATAAGAATTATAAATAGGACTCGAGTTCAAGTTACCCAATAAAAGAAATGGGGAACAACTATTATCCTCTTTCAAAATAAAAAGAAAACAAATATTATAAATTAAAGATAAGAGTAAACAATATTAAATAATAATTAGAAATTAAAGATGTGGGATAATATTAAATACTAATTATAAATTAAAGATGTGGTGTTAACATGTGATATAATTTACCGTATATCAGTTTATTATCAACAATATAAAATTAACTTGTACAAAGAGAAACATAAAATTTGTATGTTTAAAATATTAAAAACATGTAAAAGTATGGAATTTCTGTATTATTATTAAAAGATGTGAATAGTCACCTACAATTTTTCTAAACTATTTTGGAAAAAAACATGTTTAAAAACATTTAATATATATATATATGTGTGTGTGTGTGTGTGTGTGTGTGTGAATATGTATATGTATATATAGATATAATATGACATGATAAAATATTATATAATAGTATCTAAAATATTATAAGCCTAAATAAAGACATTATAATTTTTTTGAGAGAAAATTTACCTTGTATATATAAAATGAATATTGACATGATACCGAGAATTATGACGATGAGTACATAAGATTTCAAAATTATTGTTATTATTATTTTTAAGTAATTTGAGTATATAATATTTCAAAATTATTATTTTTTTAAAGTTGTTTATGCATATTTATCAATTTTACCAATGCAGATCAAGATTAATGCAAACTGTAAGTGATTGAGATTAACAAAAATTGAAGACAATATTTAATTTTATATTTTTTTTATAACTTTTTACTGTATGTATTCAATATTTTTGGGGGAGAAATATGTGATAAATCTTATTCTCTATCTATATATATACACATATACATATTAAACACATCTAAAATATTATATCACATATATAAAAAGCATCTAAAATATTTTATATTATTCGTGAAAAATGTTTGAAGCCACTTAAATTGTTTCTAAACTATTTTGTAAGGAAAACATGTCTAAAAGTACTTAAGTTTAATCTCTATATATGTATATATATATCCTCCATATATATATAGCTCCTTAGTCTTTGTCCAAATAATGTTTAAAATATCTAAAAAATATTATAAGTGTTAATAATATTTTGAGAAAATATTAGTAATTACATAGATGAAAATTAGCTTTATTTTAAACAAAAAAATTATATTAGTAATTAGACATAAAAGTGAATTAACGTTTTTTCAGGAAAAAAAATTATTGTTATGTTTTTTAGAAAATCTGTTACAATAGATAGATAAGGATGACATTTTTTAAACTTATCGATATTTACGATGAAATTTTTACGATCGGATTTTTTTATATTTTTTTATATTTAGAATGAGGGATGAGATTTTTTAAACTTACCAGATATTAAATCAACCGCAACATTAGGAATTGGTATTCACAAATATAACTAATTCATTATTTAAGGGGATTATATGTGATAAATCTAAATTTGTATAACTCACATTTTTTATATATTTTGATTATTAAATCAGTAATATATTTTTATTATAAAATAATAGCCGACATTCAAAACAATAGTATTGGCCGATTTAGTATTAAAAAAGTTTTTGATTTTTTGAGCAATCAAAACATAACTGGCAGATTTAATGGTTAGAAAAATAAAATAAAATAAAAAACAAAAAAAATATATTTTTATATTTTTTAATATAAATTAGCCGTATTTTTTAATTAAAAAATAAAAGCCGACATTTAAATCAATTTTATTAGCCGATTTGATGTTAAAAAGTTTCTGATTTTTCAAAATCTATCATTATATAAAAAGAATAACCATTTTTTAAAAATGGTAAGTCAAATTCTTAGTCAACATGTTTTGCATTAATTACTTGCCATTAATGGTGATAAATATTTTTTTTAAAGCTTCCCTGTGCAATTAATGCTTTCCAAGATTTTTGGGATGTTGCTATTTTGTAATTGACCAATGCACTAATTTTGCGTTAGAAAATCTTATCCCATTAAAAAATCTTATCCTATTAAATCTCCTTAATATAACACTTATTTTATATTAAGAAATAATAATACCACGAATTTTGATTTTCAATCCTTCACAAATTAAAGAATCTTATAAATTAAATGTCAGCAGCTAAAAAAATCGGCCTCTCCAAAACTCTATCCGGATTTTATTTAAAATCACTTGCTCAATCAATTCTCCAAAATATAAGTCCAAGTTATTGTCTAATAAATTTTTTTAGGGTATCTACTATATAAAAAAACAATTCTCCAAAATATAAGTCCTCTAATAATTTTTTTTAGGACATCTACTATATAAAAAAATTAGCGCATGTTGTATTGTCTAATTATTTTTTTATGGTATTTGTAATTACTAATATTTTTTCTTAAAATTATTAATGTTTCTTAGACCAACGGTTTTTTAGACTATAATATATAACAGTGGATATAACTCTAAATATATTTTTATATATAATATTATATGTAATTTAAACATGTTGTTTGAGTAATTTTTTTTACACATTCGTTAAAGTGTATATATATAGAGAGAGAGAAATGTTAACTTTAAGTGATTTTAGATACTTTTTTTATAAAATAGTTTAGAAACAAATGAGATAATTTCATATTTTTTAAGAATAATATATAATATTTTAGATACTTTTACACACTTTATATAATAGTTTAGGTATTCTTAATGTTTTAAAAATATTTAGACAAATTTTTACATATTCTCTAGATTAAGAAATTGTTTTCCTTACAAAATAGTTTAAAAAAATTTTAGGTGACTTCACACATATTTCAAAAATAATGTAAAATATTTTGAATACTTTTTAGGTATGTGATATAAGATTTTGTATTACATAAAAAAAGAATAAGAGTTATAAAGCATGGTAATTTTAGATATAAAATTCTATTTTATTTGTTATAACTTACATGAAAGTTATGTTTTAATTATGGATATCATCTCAATGCCTCTTTGCTTTTTTTTTTTTTTTACTTCGTTTCGTGAGACAATATCTCTTATTAGACTCATAATATTTTATATAATTTTAAACATATTGTTTAGAAAATTTTGTACACATTATTCATGTCCACATACACATGTACATATACATATGTTAAATATAAATAGTTTTAGGCATGTTTTTTTTACAAAATAGTTTAAAAAATTTTTAGATGACTCCGCATCTTTCAATATTGATATTTAAAATTTTAGATACTTTTACATATGTTATATAATATTTTAGACGTTTTTAATACTTTAAACAATCATTTTTTTCAAATTCTTTTATACAAGATAATTATATATTGTTTACAACTCATATACAATAAATTATATTACGTATGAAGTTTACATCTTTAATTTATAATTATTAGATAATATTATTTAACTTCATCTTTAATATATAATCATTAACTAATATTGTTTACTCGTGCATCGCACGGGATACGCACTAGTACTAAGTAAATTTTTATTTTTGGATCAGCCATAAATTCTTTTTTATCTAAAAAAAAAAACTGCAATTGTGATACATGATTTTCCTTTAAAAAAATTTTTGTTGATTTTGTGAAAGTTTATAAGTAACAGCCCATCTGTATAAAAATTAACAAACAACACCTTTTTAGGCCAACATTAATGCCGGCTGTTTTGAAGTGTAAAAACTAAAATAAAAAAATAAAAAAGGCTTCCTATTAATAGCATGTAATTATTGTTGTATGTGTTTGACCAGAATTTGACTTGCCATTTTTTAAAAATGGTAATTCTTATTATATGGCTTTTGCTTAATATATTATATTTTTACTATAATTCTGTCATCATAACAGAGTGCGCGACGGTAAATATTGAAATAATTTTGTTTTTAAAATTGAGGCATTCATTTTATTACAAATGGTAATTTAAATTTTGGCGCTCTTTTTCAAATGCATATTAAAAATCGAGGTGTTACATTTGTCGTACTAGTTAAAATATGTATTGGGTGAATTAGCGGCAAGAGTGGGTGGTATTTTTATTCTCTATTGATAAGTGTTATCCTTTGATTTTTAAGAACTAGTTTACATAATTTCAAGCGGCAAGTCCCAAGAATGAACGTTTGCCGCGGCTAAACGCATTTTCAATCTTCTTGTTGATGTCATTGGTTTGAGAGGTACTGCTGCCACTCCTCAGGCATCCCTTTCCGCATTTTCAACATCTTTATTGCTTGAGAGGTTAACGGTATGGCAAGTATGTCATAGTCCTTAGGAGCCTGCTTAAAATGAAATCAGCCAAGAATTTAATTAGAGAATTAAATTAAGGTCGTTTTCAAGTACCATATATCTTTTGCCCCTTCGCATTGTATTTGTATACCCACTATATATGTACTATACGTTCATTCAACTACCTTGGGAACCTTCATCAATCTCATATTTACTTCCTCCAAGGTTTTCTGACCTTTCTTTGAGTTGCATTTGGCACAGGCAGTAACCTGTTTTGCTAATTAATTATTAGCAGATGTTGCTCGAAAGCGAATAAAATAAACTGAAAAGTAATTCGACATCATTGGAGCGAACACGAGTGGATTAATATTTATTAATTCAAAAATTATGACAAGAAAAATCAAGCACCAAGGCCCATTCCATTTGGCTTTTGAAATAATTTACATCATTCATCACTTGTTAAACAAAATTTTTACTGTAATCTGTAATACAAAGTAATGAAGTAATACGTTGAATATGAAAGTTGACATCTTACCAGATTTTCCCAGGTCCACTTTCCCCCTCGAGCAATTGGCAGAACATGATCAACGGTCAAGTTCTCACAGGAAGAACAGTACCTATAAATAAAGTATGCAGGTAAAACAAGTCAAAACATTGCAGGATTGTTAGTGCTGATGAAACACAAGTTTATTTGGATGGACTCACTGTGCTATCTAAAGATGACATTGAGAAATAAGAATCCACACTGCTCATAATGTCCAATGAGATAGAATGATCATAAAAAAATATTTGACCGACCTTAAATCCTACTACTGTGCCTCTCCTTTCCAAATACCATTTTATTTAAATAATACCATCTAACTCCTCAAATACGACTATATGACTATTGTCCTTACCAACTATCACTTACCAGCATAAGCACTCCCATATTGTAAATGACTAACGAAATTTAAGGGAGTAGAACAACTCTGTAATGCAGAAAATAATTAGGCAACTATGCTGATAGAAAGCCAGTGAAGAACTGCTGGAAAGGAAACAAGATTTTAATTATAATTAAAAAAAAAAAAAGAGCAAAGACTGATGGATTACAAGGGATGAAAAAGTATCAGAATGAGGGGTGCTTGTGTTTCAGTTAATTTGCTCAAGTAGGCTGTTGGCCCATATCATGCTTAAATTTCATTTAACACAAGCAAGAATAACGAGAACATAACACAAAGTTTGTTCCAGTAGTTAAGAACTCACTGACACATAAAATTGTCCCGGTTTAAAATATTTTTACGACTGAGGCCTCTTTTCACTGTTCTTCTCTTCACAACTTGTAGCAAATGTGGGACCTGTACCAGTTGATGGACAATCATCATTGGTCAGTATGAAGGACATATGGAAGGACAAAACATAGAAAAATCCTAATTAAACAGACCATCACTTGTGAAATAGCTAATCACCAGTTTTGGCCTCATTCACAATTTATCACTGTTGCCTCTCCCATATGGCTCATCCACCACCGCGCATTATTCCCCACAAACCGTATTTGTAAAATTTTTAAAGAATAAAAGTGTGTTGGGTTTTCTGTTAATTTGTTGATGATCAACATCAGTTACAGTTTGAATTAATTCCCACAGACAGACACTTTAGTAACACATACATATTTCGTTGATCATGAGTGCAAGTGTTTATTCACCCGGCCACTCAACCAGAGAGGGAAAGATGTTAAGTAATTTGGCAACTATTATTAGGCATTTGAAAGAGAAGACAATAAAAATATACAGGAAATCAGTAAATAAACAACAACAACAACAACAACAACATACCCAGTATATTCCCAACAAGTTGGGGTCTGGGGGGTCAGTTGTACGCAGACCTTACCCTTGTAATTATACAAGGAGGCTGTTTCCGTAGCGACCCAAGGTGCATTGCGCCGTTTGATTTTTTTTTTTTTCTAGAAACTTCACTAATACAAGAAGCACTAGAATTTGATTGAGCCATTTTGATCTAGTCCATTATTAGCACTATGCTAGGAGAATTGTCAACAATGACTCTTCTAGCTCCATTTGCAATGGACAAGAAATCAGTAAATAAATAGCAATAAAAAAGTAGTTAATGAATGATGACATTGTACCCTCAATACAGCAGGAATATAGAAGGAGCCGCTGGGAGAATTTACAGTTTGGTCATAATATTCCAAAACATCAGCCTGCAATTCGAGTCATAAAGCTACGATTCTTCATGACGAACGCATATACATAAGAATTTGATTTTGGAATTTTAGTAAATGAAAGCGCCCATATATTGATGCCAAGGATATATAGCAGCATAAAAGTAGGCAAAATGTCACCTTATCCATGAACTCCAAACATATGGCGCGTTTCCAGCAGACTACATTGACGGGCCTATAATGACACAACTTATACATTAAAGATAAACCCGAATTCACCACATATAATGACTATCGATTCAAAATATTTAGACAGATCGAGTGACTGACCTGTAGGAGATGTCCAAAACCAAGCCTCTGAAGGCAGCAAGCTCGTCAATCTCAATATCGTCAAAATCCCTATCTAATTGGTTGTTAGAAGTGACGGAACAAGATGTTGATGATGGTGACGGTGGTGGTGGTGGTGGTGGCGTAGACGAAGACGAAGAAGCCAAGATACATATCCTAAACTTGGGATTTCCCAGTGGAATGGAATTGGAAGCCGAGTGACTGAATGGTGTGCCAAATGCGTTCACCTTACACAGCCCATCGCCATTAAAGACTGATTTCAATCGGCTTCTCCCACCAGCAAACTGCGCCATAACCTCAATTCAATTCACTCCTACCCACCAGAAATGAGCTGCTTTCTTTACGGACACAGTTTTTTTTCAATATTTTGCAACTAAAATCTGCCGCCACATGTTGTGGCGTGGTCTTGTGACTATCTATCATCGAAATGACAAATATACCCCAATAATATCATTCTCAGAAAATAAAAAAGCAAACTCCAATAATAAAATCAAATTAATTAAAATCGAAAATTAATTAATGGGAGATGCTAAACCTCAAACAACTCTTCATCACTCGAGTCCACGTTCACGCCCTCTCTATAACTCCCACCACTGTCGCCGCCTCTCGCCGAATCCCTAAGAGTGGCGACCCTCTGCCTCCTCCGCGGCGTGCCGTCGACGGTAGAACCAGCACCACGCAAATCTCTGCTTCTCCTCATCCCTTGATCAAATTACATGGATTTCCACCATTTCGAGGGCGAGAAAAAACGAAATAGAAATCCCAATAACAGCGAAAAAATGACGTTCACCGCCGCTGAGTAGAGGTGTTTTCCGGCGGGGGTGAGGAGAATATGTGAAAGGATTGGGTCTTTAGGGTGGCGTAAAAGTGGCGGACGACGACCGATTGGTAAGGAAAGTTTTGAGGGGAGGTAGGGTTGGGAAGTGAATCAGATGAGAGAGGAGGGCTCCGCGGCTAAGGGTTTGAAATTGGAGAGAAGAGCGTAAAATCGGTTTTTTCAATCTCTTTCGGTTTTTAATCGGTTGCGTGTGCCGAAATATCATAAAAGTTGGCTTACTAGTAATCAACCCGTGCATTTGCACAAAAAATAATATTTTAAAAAGATAACAATATGAAAAAAAATAAATTATAATTTAATACATAAAAAAAATATAAATTAAAAAAATAAATCTCAAAATTGATTTTGATAAAGTAATTGTTATGGAAGAGCCGTTACACCCATTTTCTTTATGCTAATACACTCGGTCATTTTTATGAGTGAGTGTGACTTAAAATTTAAGTACAATTTTGTAACTTCCTTGATTGGTTTATGCTCATAATTTATGGCATTCAAGCAAGTTATTTTGTAACTTAAAAATGAAATTGAATGCTGAAAATTTTGGAGGGAGAATAAAATTTAATGCATGATAATATAATTTAATATTTTGTTGCTCTTGTCTTTATATATAGATTAAACTAGTACGTGGCAATGAATAATATTATGACTGTATTATAAATTAAATATATATATAAATAAAGTTAATCATGATTTATTTATTGTTTTTAAATTGGACCGGATCGAACAGTCCGGCTGTATGGACCGGGAATTGATTTATCGACCAATTCGGTTCGCTTTGAATAAAATGTTTTCTAGAGAACCGATCAACACTCCAATCGGTCAGACTGGTATTATCACTACGACTTTTTTCAATAACTTTTGTTACATTTAAATCTTTTTTTTTATTATAAATAAAACTACATATGTAAATAAAATAGATATTTATGAATTATTTATCATTTACTTTAAACATTGAAAAATTTTAAATTATTCATATATTTAATAAATATTTTTAATAAATTTATTATAAAAAGTACTACATATATTAAAGTATTAATAATTTAAAATTTGATGCAACCAAGAAATTATTGAATAAATAACTTGATCGGTTTTAAAACGGTCCTCTCCGCTTTTTCACTTTCAATCTAATGTTGGTTTAGGTGAGTCAATTCTCTCAAGTGAGAGCCAATATTCTCTCAAGTGAGAGCCAATCGATTTTCGTCATTGTGGTGATCTTCGTTCGTTGCAATACCTGTTTATTTTCGATCAGGGGTTTGGTTTAGTATCTGAGTTTCGAATGGCATTGTGAGTTTCGAGTTGGGATTAGGGTTGAATGATTGAGGAAAATGGCAGACAATATCTCTGGGAGTGCGAAAGCGGCCGAGATGAGTGAAGAGTTAATGAGGCAACTTGGGAATATTTCATTATCTACGGTTGAAGCGGGAGGGATAGTAATTCAACAGACTGACATTAAAGTTAGTGAAGAAGAATGTGGGAGGAGTTTATTCGGGAAAGTGGTGGGAGACAGACCTGCCAGTCTTCTGGGGATTAAAAGAGCAATGAACAACATCTGGCGAATCCAGCAACCAATGGAAGTTAAAGAGATAAGTTCCAACTTTTTTCAATTCCTGTTCAGTTCAGCAGAGGATAAGAAAAAAGTAGCAATGGGGCATAATTGGATTTATGAAAATCAGTATCTAGTGCTTAAAGAATGGTTCCCTGGGTTAGTAGGCAATCACAGATGCTTTGAGGAAGTGAAGCTGTGGGTACAAGTTTTGAATGTGCCTCTAAATTGGATGAGCATTGATGTGGGGCTCAAGATAGGCCAAATCTTTAAAGGGGTAAAAGATGTCCATATCTGTAAAACTGGTGGAGATCTGGGTAGTTTCATAAAAATTCTGGCGGTGGTCAGTACTAAGGAGCCTATTCCGAGATGCACTACAGTTACATTAGGAGAGCAGCAAGTTCTGGTGGCCTTTAGATATGAAAGATTAGTCAATCTTTGTTATTATTGTGGCAAGCTGGGGCATCTAGATAAAAACTGTGAAAAAAGAGCAGAGGATATTGAAAGAAAGCAAGTATCTGATGGACAGTATGGGGAATGGTTGAAAGCAAATGAGACTTATCCAGGAGGCAGGAATAGTTATGGCAGTAGCTCAGGCAATAAACCAAATCAGCCAGTGCAAACAGTTAATGTGGAGCCTGTGGTATCAATTAGTGAGACTCCTGCAGAAATAGTACAAGAAAAAGAACAACCTCCTGAGCAAGGGCAGGATGATCAGAGTGGAGTAAATGACAATGGTGACAGAGATCTTAGAGAGAAGCAACCTCTTAGAATTACCAGTGGCAGCACAGAAAGAGAAGAGCATGAGAAAAAAGGAAAGGCTTTGATGATAATTGAGTCTCCAATGGACTTTGAAGAAGAACAAGCTCAAAGGGTAAATATAAAAGAGATAGAATGTGCTAAGAAGGGCAAAACTGCTACATGGAAGAGGAGAAGTAGTACTGAGGGAAGGTTACTGAGGATGGATGAGGATACAGCAGGTGATAGAGTGGATACCCATATTAAGAGAAATAGAGACATGGTTCTATATTCAGATGGGAGAGGTGATCAAGAGGAGGAGATAGTGGAAAAGAAAAGAAGGACAAAAGCTGAACAGAAGAAGGTGGAGAAGGCCAGCCTCAAATGGCCCCAATGTGACCAATGAAGGCTATGGTGTGGAATTGTAGAGGGCTGGGTGGGCCCTCTACAATTTCCCAAATCAAGGATGTCAGAAGACTCCATCACCCAAACATTTTTTTCCTGTCAGAAACAAAAAAAACTTTGGATTTTACTAGAACTGTATGTAGGAAACTGGGGTTTGAAAGTAGGTGGTTCTTGGAGAAGCCTAATGGTACAAAAGGGGGCCTGCTGCTTATGTGGGACCTCAACATGGAGATAAGGGAAGTCATAGCCAATGATTTCTGTATTCAAACTGAGCTGAGAGGGACTGGAGAACAGGAGTGGTACTGGATCACCTTTGTTTATATGAGCTGTGATAGAACTCTGAGAACTAAGCAATGGGAGTTCCTGGAAGTCTGCAAAAGTAGATGGGGGAACTGCTGGGCAGTTATGGGGGACTGGAATGCAATCACTAGTAATGAAGAAAAAAGAGGGGGTATTAGGAGACCAGAGTCCAGTTTTAAAGGCTTCAAGGATTTTATAAATAGAATGGAAATGCTAGAAATTGACCAGAAGGGTTCTTTTTATACTTGGGGCAATAATAGATCATCTGAGGGATATGTAGAAGAGAGACTGGACAAGATGTATGTGTCCTTCGATTGGCAGCTGAAATTTCCTAAAATGAAACTTTCCAACTTTTTTAGGAGTGCATCTGATCACAATGTGCTGCTGCTGGATACTGAGATGGAGAAGGGAAGAAGCAAGAACAGATTTATCTTTGATAACAGGTGGTTGAAGCTGGAAGGTGTTACTGAGGCAGTTAGAAAAGGGTGGGAGATAGAGGTGGAAGGATCTCAAATGTTCCAAATAATAGGGAAGGTGAAGAATACTAGGATGGCCCTTTTATCCTGGTACAAACCTTTGAAGAGGAACTCAGAAAAAATGATTGCAAGCCTAACTCACAGAATGGAGGAGCTGAGGAGGGAAGGGAGAGAGGTGGACTGGGATGAATGGGGACAAGTGAAATCTGACCTTGACAATGCTCATAGGGAAGAGGAACAGTACTGGAGATTAAAGTCCAGAGCTTTATGGCTGAGAGAAGGGGACTGCAACACAAGGTTTTTTCATGCCTATACATCTCAGAGAAGGAAGAACAATTCTATTCAGTCTCTTGTTTCCACCTCTGGGATCATCCATGATACTGAGGAGAAGATAGCTTTGCACATTGCTGATTATTACTCAACATTATTCTCCTCAGAAGGTGTTAATGGGGGTAGAGAGCTACTGCAACACATTCCTTGCTCAATCTCAGATGCCATGAACAATGACCTAACCACACCGATGCAGGAAGAGGAGATCAAGGCAGCTTTATTCAGTATGGCCCCTGAAAAATCACCAGGAGAAGATGGTATGTCTGCAGCTTTCTTTCAACACTTTTGGAATATTGTTAAAGCAGACATTTGTAAGGCAGTTAAAAGCTTTTTTAACACTGGTGTTATGCTGAAGAATTGGAACCATACTGTAATAACTTTGATCCCTAAATGCATTTATCCTGAATCATTGAGAAATTATAGACCAATCAGTCTTTGTGGAGTGCTGTACAAGATAATTGCTAAAATTCTGGCTGAACGACTGAGAAAGTGTCTTGATGTTTGTGTGAGTAAGTCTCAAAATGCATTTATCCCAGGCAGGCAATTACTAGACAATGTGGTGTTGGCTCATGAGGTATTTCATTATCTGCATAGACATAAAACTGGGCAAAATGTGTTCATGGCTATAAAACTTGATATGGAAAAAGCTTATGACCGAGTGGAATGGGAATGTGTTAAGCTTACTATGACCAAGATGGGTTTTCACTCAAAATTTGTGAGATGGATATGTGGCTGCATCAGTTCCTCTACTTTCTCCTTCAACATTAATGGCAGTGTGAAAGGGTTTGTGACTCCCTCTAGGGGTCTGAGACAAGGGGATCCATTGTCTCCATATTTGTTCATAATTGTCTCTGAGCTACTATCATCTTATCTGGATTTCAAGATGGGTGCTGGTCATTTCCAGGGGATTAAACTGACAAAAGAGGGACCTATGCTCTCTCACTTGCTGTTTGCAGATGATGCCTTAGTATTCTGTAAGGCAGATGTATATCATGCTAAGCTGCTAGTCGAAATTTTGGAAAAATACAAATCTTTCACTGGGCAGAAAGTTAATTTGAACAAATCCTCCATCTTTATCAGCTCCAACTGTAGTGAGGCAGTGAAAAATCAAATCTGTTCTGTTCTGAGAGGTGTGGTTTATAAAAGATCATCTAAGTATCTGGGATTGCCACTTGGTATTGGTGCTTCAAAGAAAAATACCTTTCAATTTGTGGTTGATGCAGTTAAGGATAGGATTGAAAGCTGGAAAAACAATTTTCTCTCCACAGCTGGGAAAGAAGTCCTTGTGAAATCAGTTTTGAATGCATTACCTATCTTTGTAATGTCATGTTTTGTGCTGCCTCAGAGTTTGTGTAAGGACATTTGTCAA